GTAATGTTAATAAAATAATTTTATAATGTTGTTACCTGATTGTCTTTATGATTCCAATCTGACATACATGTCCATTCCGAATGGACATAAATTCCAATCTGACATATGTCCATTCCGAATGGACGTAAATTCCCATCTGACATATGTCTATTCCGAATGGACATAAATTCCAAATGGACATACAACAATTGTTCTGTTTCGCATTCTTATTTATTAATATGACAAATATGACAACATGTAGTATTTAGCTTGAATTGATCTTCTATAACTATTGATCATATTAACAGCGAAGTTACCATATAATTTGAGATTCCTGTAACACGGTCATACTAACAACGAGAATTAATTAATAATAGTAATAGGCTGTTAAGGTGTTTATTAAAACATTATAACAAGAACAAGAACACAACAATTATAGACAGCGATGATAATATTAACTTTGGCATTTCCGTGTAACATCAGAAAGGATTCATATGATAACGTGAACAAAATATTAAATTAATAAGAAAGTAAACATAGTTATGCTTACTAGTAGTAGGAAAACACAAGGGTTACCGTTATTGTTACAGTAGTCTTATTACATAACTCAGCGTTTATCCGCTGATTGAGATAATAATAAGAAAAATGTTTAGGGACACTTCTCAATTTTGGGGTACTTTGACGGGATTTATACGATGACGGGATTTGTGCACGACATAATACCTCGATAAGTCGGTTCTCACGTAATAAATGTGTTCTTCCTATTGGTTAAGAACGTTGTGTTCGATACGTTATAACGTAAATATCTGTTACCGGTGTCAAATAAGACGGCTTTAGAAGTGTCGAAAATGTATTAAAAATAAGAGACTAAATAAGGAAGATCAATTCAATGAAACAAACTACTCTAGATAGTAATAGATAGTTTTTTACAAATTAAATTTATTATTGTTATATTCGGTTAGGTCACGTGTTCTCGATAAGCCAGCCCACCTGGTCGAGATTGACTTGTAGTACAAGCTTAGATACATATTCATGTGCATATATGGCCATTGTAGTTACTTTTTTGGTCCACCGAATTTCTGATGGAAGTTTCTTCTCCAAAATGCTGATCTATTTTTGGCAGAACATGCTGCGGCGCAAGACAATAAAACTGATCGAAGTGCTTCTCACTTTTTATCTGAACGAACGCAAAGAAGAAAACGATATTCAGAAAACAAAAAAAAAGTTTGAATATACAAAATGTCAATCCAATTTGATCCCTGCCCTTGGTTAGAGTGTGGAAATCATATCATTAACAACGGCGAAAACTTCAAATACTATTGCGACATGTCCAACCCTTGTCACATTGGGAATGCTCTTTACTTTATTGCTCACACCTTTCAGCAGCAAAGCCTACATTACATCTCCGAGTGCGACAATGGTAATCATACTGTACGATACGTGAAGAACGAGGAGGAATTGAAATCCATAACTAGGTGCAACATGTATCCCAACCACGAAGATTTCTATATCTACTGGGATAACGATGGCTCTTTCAGTTGCACTCCCAATCACATTTGCTACTTTGTTCGCCACTTTTCAAAGCATCCAATTTATTACAACGACAACACCAACGACAACGACAACGACAATGGCAATGACAATGATAGTATAGAAAGCCACTACGGCAGCGATGACGACGATGACAACGACAATGACAACAGCAGCTACCAAGAGTTCGCTGGTCACACTATCAGCGAAAAGAGCAAACCAGTAGAAAATAGGGATACTAATACGACCGTTTCATTTAACAATGCTACCACTCGCACACACCACTCAAGCGAAAGTGACAAGGCCGAACTCGATATTATCATTGGCGAAATTTGGGCAGTCTGGGAGGACTGTACTGTTCGTTTTGAATTGCCATCATCGGAAAAAGATATTCTTGGCATAATTAGGGTGTGGCGAAGACGGGGGAAGGGTACGAAGCGTGTTAATCCATATATGGTATATCGCGCACTCTTATCCAAAAACCTAAATTATAAGAAAAAGGAATTTCAAAGTGGAGCCTTTCAAGGTTATGTTAGCAAATTCGCAGGTAGGACTTGGAAGGAAAGATCTGACTCTGCTAAAAAGGCGATAGAAAATCTTGCGGCCGAAATTAACAGGTATGTAGAGGAAGAAAATTTGAAACTCACTTAGGGGACTGTGAATGTCGGGTGTTTGTACATATCAGGTTTAAAGTGCAACTAATTTCACTGATTTCAATAAATTATTTATCTTATCTTGCATAAGTGTACAGACCCATTATCTGGCGTTATGACAAAGGAAGTTGCATTTACGTTTGAACATACATCTGGCTTCGCTAACGATATAAACTAGATTGTGCACAGCTTAGTTGAATAGCGGATCCCAACTTAGCTCCATTAAAAGGAAGGTTTTAGTAAATTTAGCCTCTCTATACATACCAGGAAATAAGTGTCTACTAATTGAAATGCAAACTGTGCGTAATACTGTAATAGCATTTCTCTCTATATGAAGCCTAGATGGTTGATGTGTTTTAAATGAATGTACGTGTATATTCATCGGAGTCTACAAACAATGGTTGAGAATGCCCTTTATTTGTATAAATTAATATATAGGAGAACATACGGGATTCGCATTTGTAACTACTTCTCCGATTATACGTACTGTAGGTAACATAAAATGGCAATATTTGATGTAAACTCAGCCGCTACATTACGAAATTAGTTGTATTCACCAATCAAATTGCTATTCACAGCCATAAACCTAACATTTACGCAACAACATTACAAAATAAAAAGGTTTCTTTCTGGTGTTAGCATATATTGAGTTGCTTACATGCTCAGGAAAAAAGAAATCGTCAGCGTGAATCATATGAAAGCAAACGGATGGTTCAAATGCATGAATTAAGTATGAAATAAAAAGTTGTCGGTTTGGATCAATGATACTATTTTTGATATCATGGATTTGTTTATAGACCTTCCTTATTGGCATATATCTTAGCAAGTTTGATCCCTGCGTGTAAAAGTCAAAATTGACTTTATGAATTTCGTCATATAAAGAATGTTCGTGTATAAAAATATATTACTGGACGCATTTTAAACTTTATCGGGCGTATACTCCTCTCAGCCGAGTAAATTTTCGAAAATTAGCCAAAAAGCAAACACAAAGTTAAAGCAAGTAAGCATTTAGTTATTTAAGTTGCGTACGCCAAGCTGGCTATAAATTATTACATAAAAACCGAGCTTTCCATAACTTTGGTGGAAAACAAAGAACAAGTCGGAGTCGAATAGTAATTTGGAGGAATATTACAGTCGCTATAACAAATGAGAGGTTACACCAACTTAATGCATTCAAATGACTAAGTATCATCTCGTGGGAAACGACTGATGAGATGAGATAGTGCTTTGTGTGCTACGTGAATAAAACACTGGATAACCATAAAAGTTGTTAAAGCGTTGAGTTAATGCATTACGGATATGTGTTACATAACGCCTTTTGCAGAAGAACAACCCGTTCGGGAGCCCCTTTTTTACTTCATCAATCCCCCTTGTTTACAACAGATTATCGTTTCATCTCATCCAAGCTACACTGCTATATGCTTATCTAATATAGATAGCAATGCGATTAATATTGGTAAGCTAATGCATAAAAGAATGCATTTAACCCAAAACGAATAACCAATGCTATCGACAATATAACGCCATACGTTTCATATGTCTTAGCAATGAAGCAAATAACTTTATTTTTAGAACATGCAAGTAATGTGTAACAAACAAGCACCCATTCTTCAAGAAAAAACGAGTCAGTGTCTAGACAATTTTAATGATTTATTTCACAATTGATTCTACCTTAAGAATAGATGGTGTATACTTTATTGATTACTAGAAATCATTGTAAAATTGCTCTGTCTTATTGGTCTAACATCTGCATACTGTAGGTAAGACATATTAAACATCCAAGGAGGTTTTCATTGCAAGTCAATGCCTTTTTTTGAGTGTAACGGCACAGTGTGATAGTCGTTCCAACTTTGAGGGCAAACTGAGTGTATTGTAATTGTTCAAAGGTTGGGTTCTCTCCACAATATTTTAACCTCTACGGCGTAGGCGAGATTAAATAAAGTTCTAGCTTTCAGAGATTTCAAGCAGAAAATACATTACATATACATATTATCTAACTCACGCCGAAATAGCATATGTTCAATGGCCGTAACGCATATCAGAGTAATTGCTGCAGAGCGTTCAGCTGTAGCAAAGTAGTCAGCTATATTTATTGAATAGTTTGTCGAATCTTTATACAGTGTAAAGTTTTTGATTTCTTGCCATTGGGATTAGGTTTATGAAAATAAGGTTAACTTACAAATTGAATTGTATGACATCTATTGGTAAGAGCAATAAATTGCCTCTACAAACAAATATCGCTGCTGCAATCAAGTAAATAACGCATTTACCTCTTGCTATCTGCGGTGCCGAAGGAAATTTTCTGGCAGTACCTCCGGACATTAAACAGATGTTTGGACGTCATTAACGTTTAACAAAACAGCAACCCGAAACACACAAGCGCTGTGCTAGAAATATCCTTCATGAGAATGTTCTAGAGATGCTGGATTAGCCATCCATTAGTCCAAATTTGAATCCCTAGAAAATCTATGAGTAATTGTTAAGCGAAACGTGGAAAGACGGGTTGCTGATTTAGAGGCTTTTATGGGCGAGGAGTGTAGATATTCCGGATAACATTGTAATTAATTTGGTAGAATCAACTGCAAGCTCGTTCTTTGAAAGCAGTAGCGAACGAATTAATTATCAATAATATCTAAATTGTTTGCTTTCATTTTAAAGCATTGGTTGAGGAGCGGCCAATTTTATTTTATCACCTTTTTTTCTCTCCGTATTTTTAGATTTCATACACATGAATTATAAACCAACTTACTGTCGTTTCCAAGTTTATAGCATGTTTCCAAATCTACTTGCTCACATAACCAATGTAGCAGTCGAGCTAAGCCGTATATACATGTAATGCTGTTCCAATCACGAAGCTTGCGTTGATAGGTTCTCTAATAGATATTACCATAGACTACATGTAGTATTCTATTGCGGTAGAAATATATAACACGCCCTTATCCAAAACAATAGTCACAATATGGATCAGAACAGATTCGCAACAATTTTTAAAGACAAGAGTAAATATCTTATTTCCAGTTCATTGCTAATACGTTATAAGGATTAAGACATTGAAATTTAATAGTAAAGATTGACTTGCCAAACGGATCTAAGGGAATTGGTGATTTATGGAAGACTGCGCGATAATAACTAATCCCGTCTATTGATACTTGATATTGTAGAAGTCCTGTTCTATTAATACCCTTTCTATACTCTGTGAATTTTGCCAAGCGTTTTTCCGGTAACACTTCGTTTGTTTCTTGTGTTAGGATAATCAAATTATTATGAAATTACCAAATTTATATAAGTTTAAGGGGTAAAGCGCAGAAAGCTTTACAAACGCTTTTATCAATCGGTCAAAATAAAGGTTGGCAAACTATGTACGTTCGCTTATTAACTAACAACTCCGATATTTGTATGAATCCCTGCAAAAGAGTATATAAGCACAAACAGTAGACGTGAATGCAGCCGGAACATTGTTTGATTATTAGAGTAAATTTGTAGCAATCATAATACTTCTACAATTCTCCTGTTCGCTCTTGGATTTTTTTAACAGTTGTCTCGTTGTCTAGTTTATTTACATAAGAATACCGCGTGAATTTGTAACGCTGTAGGTTATTGTTTTTTGTTTTTGTTTTTTACAAAAAACAACAACAAATTGTCTATTATAAGCTTCAGAAGTAGACACGGGCGTTTTGTAAGTAAATTCACATTTACAATAGGTTTTTACAAAAGCCCATTTTTTAAATATCGTTATTGCAAATAACGAAAAGTTTTGAGACACTAAACAACTTATACACACAATAAACCTACTTTTAGTATGTTTGGGTAACTATAATGTATGAAAAAACATACAGTCCAGTAGTAAACCAGATAGAGAGAAAAGATAATAAATAAATATCGAAATCCCAAGACCATAACATATAAGGGGGGGGGGGGAAACAGGAAAGATTCTCTCTCCCTTTTTTTTTTTTTTTTTTTTTTTTTTTTTTTTTTTTTTTTTTTTTTTTTTAAAAAAGAAACCGCAACAAATTCTCATAGCCCAACCCTCTGTTCTTCAAACTACTCAACGCCTAACAATGTTACGTCCATTGCAATGCTGACAACGGAATTCATAACATGTGGTAGTTGCATCAGTACCAGCAACATCCATGCCTGATCCTTCCGATCGTATTGAATCCATAACTTCGTTGGCGAGTGTAAGAAATACTGCCTTGTTAACATCGTTTGTGGCACGCCATACGCGCGCTGCTATCTGCGTCATAGTGTGCGGCATAAGGGTCTCTCCGAGCGTTTTCAATTCTCGAAGAAGACGGTTTCTGAAAACAAGGAAACCGTTGATCTTTTTCGGCTTTCTTCTTTTAATCTCGTCCACCGTAGGCAGATTGAACCAGATAATGTTCCGTATACCATCAAACTCGTACACTACGGCAGCTATCTTACTAGTTTCGTAGACGTTAATTCCAAGATTGAATGAAGGAACGTATTCAACGGCGGCGATTAGTTCATCATAAGCGTCTTTATGTAAGTTGACGGTGGGATCGCCTAGATTGTTGTTGAAGTCGTTTGGTCCCATTTGGTGTTATCTCGGTAATTGTAGACTGGGAGAACGTTTTTGTCTGGAGTTGGGAATACTTTGAATTAGATCGATTATTTATTAATATTCTACTGATGGATAAGATTCAAGGCATTAAAACTCTAATACTGGTTTCAACCCAATACTATAATTGATAAGCATCAGATGAATAAAAGAAGACATTTTATTTGATAATCATAAATACCAATTGCGCCTTTTGTATGATATCAAATCATTCCATTTTCGTTCAGTCCAACTCTTCAAAAGTAATGTTCTGGGCGGTTTGCTAACAAATGGAAATAATTGAAAGGATTTATTGCGTTACAGTATCTTCAGATAGTTATGAGAATCATAAGTATAATTTCGGCAATAGGAATGTGATCTAAATACGTATTTCATATATCCATATAAATACGCAAGTTCTGCAAAGATAAGATTTCTTGCAAAAATTACCTGATCGAGACCCTTCAGTACAGAGTCGATCATGAATACCTCATTGAGATAACAAGATCCAGTGTAGACGGGCTTTTGATGGATGGCGTATGACAACGTATAATATGGATATTGGTAACAATCACAAAAGGATAAATGAGTACCAATTGTTGAAGCAAAAATGTGTCCAGGATTAGCCTAAAATTAAGTCATGTAGATTTTAATTTCTGTCCAAAATAAGCATAATGCCGCGTATAAAAAACCACGTGCCATATCACGTGCACAAGACCACGTGCCTGATCACTTCCCAAAGACCACGTGATAACTCACGTGCACAGTAAAATTTTTATTACTACTTAGGAAAAGTTATTCACAGTGAATAAAAGTCCCTCGCGATAGAAAAGTTATTCACATACCCATACTACTTGTTCGAAAAGTTATTCACATACATACCCATACTACTTGTTCGAAAAAGCCCGCTCCTGCTCACAGTACTGCAGGATAGCCAATACGTTATCGGACCGGCATTTCTAGGAGCAAACGTCATATCCATTTCTTTATATAAGCCATGTTGATGATAAGTGGAAAAGAAGAATCCAAATTCTGTCCGTTTATTCGCCAATACTATATACCTGGTTGAGAACTAACATCAGAACAGTAAATACAACGCTCAAAAATCTCATATAGCATTCGAACGTAAGGAGAAGCATGAATTCATACGCTCGAAACAATTTCGAGTGTTTTCCGATACTGAAGGAGGGAATATTCGGTCTTTTATTTTCGATGTAATTGATACGTGTTCTTACCGTGCTGGTAGTTTTTAAATCGTATAGCAATTACCAAATACTTCGTTGATCAGCGTTTGTCAAACACCACACACAATGGTCAGCCGCCGGGTTAGTATTTGAAATATTCCTCAATGCAGTCATGCTAGTATCACACACTTCGAATTACATACTAAATTTGGTGTGTTGACAGACCCCCGTTCGTTCCCGAATGTTTATCCATCTATGTATATTGTGACACACATCTCAGTTACACACGACGGGGGGTATACATTCTAAGATTGTTTGTCCCAAACAAGGCAAAAGTTATTTGCTAGTTCAAAGAACAAAGTGTTTCATATGAGTTTCAACGGATTGTATTTAATAGTACAAATAACGCAAATAACGATCAAGTTTGTCTCCTTTCACATTATTATCATTATCAATCCGTTCATACAAACAAGGAATTCGGTCGCTACCGAAACTGCCGTAAAATTGGCAATTGAATTATCGGTTAAATGATGGTGATCGGTTTAATGATGGTGATCGGTTTAATGAAGAAAAAGAATAAACACTGGTTCATTGCTGTTAATAATCTGTATCAAGTTTTTCTGGAGGCTTATGTGGTCAATTACAGAATTAGACAAACAATGTTAATTAAGTACTATATCCAAGCGCGTAATGACCTTTTTGTAGATCATTAAGTAGTGATCGATCCAATCTTATTACAAAACGGCTAATCTTTTTCTTACCCGGTATGATCTGATCCGACTCTCTTTCCAACGCAACAAAACCATTCAACCCTATTGGTTTAACTTTATCCTTTAAAACTATCTTGCCGGAAAGCTGTTCGAGTAAAGATATCTAAATTTAGATCATTCTCAAGTTAACAAACGGTGCTCTAGTATTAAAGGTGTAACTATTGTGTATGCCGCCGTACTGCCTTTTTTACTTGTAAAAATTAAAGCTTTTCCCAAAGAAATTGTATCTTCTTATAAATTGGCCTTGTGTGAAATAATGGTGTGTGGTGCGCTCGTAGATCTTTACTTGAATGAACGATGAAGGAAAATTTACTGTTCGAAAGCTGCTAGTTAGCCCAAACAAACTTATGGCGGAAGGCGTGAGCGTTTAACTAGCTCATATGCCATACACTAGCACAATTCTGCTAATTATTCCAAATGGATACCACAGTAAACTCGTTAAAAGTAAATCCCTAAAATCCTGTGCAATTAGAATAACGATGTAAAGAAAATCTCCACGGCCAGCCGAAATGCAATCTGTTGTTTAGACACATGTTTAATATCAGGTTGTGGGCGAACAAGCTCATTATTATTAGACAAAGCGTATGCAACTCATTGTTGCGATCAAAAAAAGCATTAATGCGTAATTATAATAAATTAACAAATAAACAAAATTTATAGTTATAATAACATATGTAAATACACATTATTTAAACACATTTTTTCTTTCAATTCAGTTCAGTACCCAGTACCGAACAGTTTAATTTAATAATCAAGACTGATACTATTATGTTCAAATAAATACTGTCCTAACGTATTTCTTCTACAAGCAATTTTTTTGTTTCTAATATTCTCTCTGTCATTGCCCTAGCGAACGTATCAACCGTTGACTCACCATCTTTTCGTATTTTATCAACCAATTCACCTGCAGTTTTTTCTGCCTCTGCGTTACCCTCTCCTCCCCCAAGATACTTCTTTCCAACTGCCCTATGCCCCATTCTAAACACTGCCAAAGAATTGATTAATTGATTGTACTCTTTCCTGAGTGCAACCGATTTTGACTTCATCACATATTCACGAAGAGATACCGGAGCGTTTTTGATGGAATCAACGAAATTTCGCATGGTCTGCGTTGTATAGTGCTTATACGAGTCAACCGCATCTAGATATGCAGGCGATGTACCAACACATGATAGAACAGTGTCCAACACTGGAATGATTAGTGATTGAGATCCAGAAATGCCCTTGAAACCCGACAATTCCCAACCCGTTGGTGTCTGTGCGTGTGTCGACCATGCGGATGCAGACATTGCAAACGGAGAGGCAAATGGACAACCGCGAGATGATTGGGTACTTTTAGCAGTCATGCTATAGAATACGCGAAAGACTTGCGTAGCAGAATGACGTAGTTGAGACATTGCTTCAATTATCTTTTGCTCTTTCATTCCTGTGTTGTCCTTTGTAGTCTTGCTCATTGGCTTTGATGGAATATCCGCGTATCCATTCACAAGTTCAACCAACGTAGCAGCACGCTCATATAATTTTTTTGCCATGCTCTCCATTCTAATAACACTAAGATAGAATCCTCTCTCTGTGGTTGATCCTATGTCTTTATCGTCTCTCATGCTAAACGTAAATCTTGTATCGAGTGGCCAAACAACTTCTTCATTATCGATATTGAGGGTAGTGGACTCGGTCCAATTACACAATATAGTCGAATACAATGTAGGACAAGGCGGTAACCCTATTCGAGATGTCAATCGTGTAAATGGTATGGTTAACTCGCTTGGGAGCTGGAGAGACGAGACACAGGCAACGGAAGAACCGTTAGGAAGAGGACCCCAACGGTATGAAAGAAGACAAACGCTTAGACAGCTTAACATGGCTTCATAATGACCATCCCCCGGTTGTAGTGCTTCAATTTTGTTCATAACATCGGTCATTACATGCAATATATTTTTGGACAAATATTCGATCATCCATGCCATAAATTCAACATGAGTGTATGCATCTGATGTCATGCGTGACGGTATTTGGTCACAAAGTTGAACGTATAGCGAGAGCGGGTATGGTACAGTTGAAGGAGAACTCTTTGGAGGCCACGAGTTGTTTACATTTTTGAAAAGGCTGTTTAAGCTGTCGCGGGGGTATGTGTATGGAGTCGGACGCGCGGGGGAGGGAGGCGGTGAAGCTTTGGACGATGCTTTGAACTTGGCATTTAGCAACGATATGTTTGTGTTTGGAAATATGTAAGACGTAAAAGATGGTGTATATGCGCCCGAAGAAGAATTTCTCTTGTGGTAATCGGTAGAGTTTCGTTTAGCAGAATTGGTGCGATACGATGGGCTGTTAGCAAATGGACATTTACTGACTGAGACAGTGTCGACGTGTTTATTGTTGTTACCGTTGTCGCAGCCGGTAAATAAATTGAAGAAGAATTTGGCCAGCATTTTAAAGAAAGTATCGTTTAAAATTGAAAGGAAAAAATAAAATAAAATAGTTCTTTTCACTGCTAACTGCCTTGTTTAAATATGCCTCGGCTAGATGAGAATTAATTTTTAAACAGTATAATAAATAAACGCTTTATATGCTTATGTCATAAAAGGAACGACAAATGGTCCCGTCAATATTTGAATCTAATTGGGTAAATCCCTCGGAGAATCTTCTGTTTGTATAAATATCCATTATATATGTGTGTTACACATTTTCTGTTTGAATCGAACTTGTTTTCAAGTCTGCTTTGTTCTCGACCGATTAAATACATCGCATTGTATGCATGGACAGACAGAGCTCTAAAAAGAAGGGTCGTGTGTTTGTAGAACGCCACCACAATAAAGATCGATTTGGAAAAATTAAGTGATCATCCACATGTGAGCACAAAGTGCAGGAGCCTCCTGAATTTTTTTGTATTAAACGATGTTGTAAGATTCATAAGGTTTTGAAAATTCTCACGTTCAGGGAAACATTCAACGTAAGTTCTCACACAAATGGATAAAGCCTGTTGTCACAAGACAGGAACGTTCATAATCAACCGACAACATCTATTATCCTCAACCGACAATCTCGAGTGCGGCGATTCGGCTGTGACGTAATCAACAGCTACTAATCCCTTATACATTGATTATCAATAAACTGTTTAATAATATTATATGGCGATAGGTGTAAGAGATTTTATTACGCTATTTTCAGTTACCTGACATAATCCGTTCCTAAAAATTGGAATTATGTGCAACAATGTGGGACGAATTCTCTAACACCTGTTATACTCTATAGCAAATGACAATGATCGTCATCTTAATAAATGTGATTTAATTTTAATCAATGAACTACCGCAAAGAAGTTATAAGGATGGTACTTTTTGGTTTAGCGGTGAGCGCATTGGTATGATAATTTCCGTATGTCCGTTTCGGTTTACTGCACTGCTAATGCGATAAGCTTAAAGTCACTACTGGCCATAAGTTTCGAAACAAAAAAATAGTTCGCCTTTCAATTAATTAAACAAACAAAACCTTTCATGTTTGTACGGTGACGATAGATAATTCTACCAGTTTTCGTTGATTAAAAAAAGTATATTGAAAATCATGCGTAATAACTTTATTTTATGACTAGAAAAACAAAACTATGTAGATAGATTATAGGCGGCGAAATTGGGCGATTCAAACTAACCGGTTCAGTATTGGATATCTTCCCAAGTTGGATAGCATGCAGAACTTTTTTAGCATCGGTAATGGAATTCAAAAACCACTAAAGTTTCGGAACGACTCATTTCACGTTACAAAATAAAAGGCGCACAGACACTATTACTATAACAATAAGAGGTTTGTTTATTGCAGTCTGTGAAAGCATGTGGTCAGAAACCTATCCTATTAATGTTACACGATGATACTTGTGGCTTGACAAAATTATGCAAAACAAATTATAAAAATCCTCTTTTTAGCTAGACATGTAAACTCCTTCAAAAGCAATCTGACGAAAAACTTTTTTATCCCTACGGGATGTCACGCTCCGTGAAAATTCACTTGACTTCGGCCAAATATTTCAGCACATGCTTTTCAAGTACCCGCGCATGGCCTCTCACCTATGGTAAATACGCTGCGGATAGTGTTCAAAAAAGCTTTGATCGAGCCAAAAATTTCTGTGATGTTATTCTATTGTCTATACTTTTTCGTCAGTACTGTCGCGCATTAGGTTTATTTGCAGGATGTAAGCTGCGACCAATGGAATGATAGAGTTTCGCTGTCACTGTCATGTTATTATTTCTATGGATCGCAAAGTATGATCGTTCCAACTGATTGTTGCAAACTTTATTGCTATATTACATATGCATGGGGGATACTGACCATAATCTATCTGTGGTTCTCACATCCAACACACATTATCCCAAATATCCTCCTACATGTCATACATATCATTTTCTTTTCAACCTGTCATCTTTATTGTATATTAAATAATAAATAACATATCACAATCAAAGCTACCTATGTTGAGGCATAACGATTAGTGCTATTGGGAGTATCAAGTGTCTTTAAATCGTCGATACTCATTACAGTTGGGGTTTCTGATCGTGGAATACGAGGTTGGAAGTAATTGGCATCTCTCAACTTAGCTCTTTCACGTTCAAGATTCTGCAGTCGATGAGCAGTATTCTCGATGTATTGTTGAAGTCGTATCCAGCAGCTTACAACATCTCTAGACTTTCAAGAGGTGTTAAAGGTATCGTAAAAGTTTCTAGCACACGTATTCGATAATACACCCAGTATGGTCTGTCCAACACTGCAATTTTTAACTCAAGACAGTGAACTTGTATCATCACAATAGGCAGAGCAGTCAGTTTTTGCAAGAATGCATTACCATCGTTAGACTCATGTAATTGCTCTACTTGATCCTCTGTCATGAATTCCAACATTAGATTATGCGTATCCTCACACACCTGCCCAAATAAACTTTGGAATATCCGCTTTAGGACGCGAGCTTTCTAGAAATAATATTTCCAGATAGTATTTATTTGTCTCTGACAATACTAATTGATTTTCTGAATGAATATTCAATAGGCACAAGATGCTACGCATTTTATTTACAAAAAACAAACATACGAATTCACATCGTACGAAAGATACAGTAATATATACAGTTGGGTCAAAAAAAGGCAATTCAACGAAACAGAGACTGAACTCCTGCGCAATGCTCTATATCTAATTCAACTTTTCCTATAGATACAGATAGTAAAACTGTCTCACAGATTATCAGTGATTTCAAACATTCTGGCTTGGTTACCCAGACTGGTTAGTGGAAGTCGCCGTCTGCAGTTTGCTGCCCCACTGTACGAGTTATACTTTGGATGGCATTAAGATAAATCTATATTGTTGGTGAATTTTATTTTCTTTATAGAAGCCGTTTTACCAACGAGAAGGCTGTGGTATTTATTAATGAATCCGAACCGGTCGGACTCCAAATCTATTATACCATTAATTAATGGATCTTTATCCGACAGAGTACTGGCATCGATTTCGCTTATTATCCTGTAAAGCAGCGCATGTGCCAGCGACACATCTTTTTGTTTACAAACAATGTCCTTTAAGCTGTCTATATTCCGTACGTTCCGGTCGAATGCGCAAGATTTATGCCTAGAAAATCCGCGCTAGTTGATTATTTTATTTTTGAATGGTTAAGCAGGGATTGATATACTTATGCTGAAATAGGCTAGCATCGAAAGTTGAGCGCTTTCCAAACAAATCTTCGATAAAATAAAACCTCTGTATCTTAAACCGTTACCACCAGCCCGTCGGATCTTATCGAGTTTGACTATGTACAAGCTGTTGTAAAGGGGTCCGTATTATTTCATCGACAATCATTTCACCGACAGTACATTTCACCGACAATTAACTACCAAAAAAGGATAACTTCGAAATAATGTTGGTGAAGATTTGTCGATGAAATGATTGTCGGTGAAATAATTGTCGACGAAATGATTGCCTCCCGTTGTAAAGTAAGCACAGATTTCCAATTACACCCCTCACACACATGTCTACACATAAGGTCATAATCGGAAAAATAAATAGGGGCATTGGGCCAGAGCAAAGATTCAGGAACACGTTTCGTAGTTTTAAGACAAACGCTTGGGCCAGACCCTAATTCTAATTAGACCGTGATGAAGTGATTTACCTTACGAAAGGCAAGAACAATATTGTTAAGCGACAGAGTTTAAGAACTACAGCTTCATTAAAGTGTCCAATAAAGCCGCGGCAGTAGGCTAAGCCTTGCCCCTTGCGCGCCATAGCTTCTGAGGCTCGAACTTCGGTTTGGGCGGGCTGTTTTATATGTTTTACGTTTTATGTTTTACCGGTTTTATGTGTTTTATGGCCGGTTGGGGAAAAGAAAAAGCCAGTATTACTATTATGTATTAGTATTCTACGGGAAGCGATCATTTCATCGACAATCATTTCACCGACAAATATTCACCAACATAGATTTCGAAGTTATCCTTTTTTGGTAATTAATTGTCGGTGAAATGTACTGTCGGTGAAATGAAATAATACGGACCCGTGATTATCAAAATATTTTCGGCCACAGTTTTTAAATATTAATCTTTTTATTGATGTAGAAGTTTAAGGGGGTTCTATTCATTGTTATCAAGGGTGTTATGATACTAATGGTGATTGTCATAGTCTGGCTAAATAATAAGGCAAGAAAACGCAACATCCAGCAGACTTATTATATTAATATGGCTAATACTGAGGATTTTTGGGGAGATAGAAGTAATTGGAGGTATGTGCATTCTATGTGTGATTTGATCCCCCAATCCTAATCATCAATTCGGATGATGAACACGAGCATTTTTGAATTGTAACTTATGTGACTACAAACTATTACTTTCGATGCCCCAACAGAAACCATTAAAAAGACTGAGTAGAATGAGTTCTATAAAAGTCTTTCTCAAAAACGAATCACTATATCGGTTGACAATCGGTGCTTATATCATTTATGGAGAGACCATGGAATGACGACAGAAGAAAGAGACGCAAGTTGTTTGATAGAGGTTTTACAAGAAATTATTAGGGAGAACGACAGCGACGTAGAAAACACCTAGAACGCTTAGTAGATAAAGATAAGGTATATGTGTTCATATGAATATACTTTTCAACCCTATTATATGAAGACGTGTATTGTATGGAAATGACGGCGTTAAGTAAGCTTGCATTCGAACACCGGCGATAATCTGCCCCATTACTGTCGGGTTAGTTAAACCGAACTTTTCAACTAGTCTTATTTAACGTACATTGTATTTTTATCCTACATATGCGATGTCATGGTATACTGCGGCGGCAGCAGAAATTGCTACTATTGGTGGTTATATTAAACTAAACCGAATTTTCGAGACTTACATATTCACATGCTCCGTAGATAACTGATTCAAGGAGATTGCAAGTCCGTTTCGTTATCATCAGGTAAATTAATAAATTCATTGACAATGTCAATTCTCAGATTTTGCACCAAAATTCCGGTCTTGTCCCAACAATTTTGAATGGTGGAAGTTGATACGTTATGCCAAGCAATTGGCAGCATGTTTGATATTAAATGACTTTGGCACGGAAGGTGAGATAAGATTTGTAGATGCTGCTTCGTCGTAGGCGGCGATTCGAGATTGACAGAATAGTTTGCGATAATGAGTCTGACATAATAATGAGTTAGAGTGAGTTTATAGATGAAGAATGATTTATAATTTCGAAAATAAATAATTCCAGCATCGCACGGTTACAAGTGAGCCGTAGTATTAGGGGGGAGATAATGTACCGTGATGTTGGACAATGTGGTATCTTCGTAGAGTGAGTGACAAGCAGCATTATCGACAAGCAAAAGAATATTTCGTTTCTGTCATTGTATGAGGGAGTTAAGAGAATGGTTAAAAGATGGAGCTTTTCATCCACGCTTTAATACCAAACTGGGCGAGGATTTTCGAACTTGTGAAGAAAGAGAGGCGGGAATTTTTCCTCACCCGTTGCGTTACAAGTCAAAAAAATTTTTTGTGATACGTTCTTTAGACTTTTCGTGCCAGAAACAGGCCGAGTTGATAAAGTTCGTGTTGGCTCCATTCGCCAAAATAGTGCGGTTTCATCAGCGTTAACAATTCGTAAGCAGAAGTGATTTCTCTTAGTTTCTGCCGGTAATTCTCTAGATTTTCCAATGGTGCACTGTTTCCCTCCAATATTCTTTAATGTGATTTCGGTTCTTGAATCTTTCCAGCCATCGTTTGAGCCATTAATATCGTGAATGCCAAGACGTGTAGCAAACTCGCGGGCCTTTTCAAGTATGATGTGGCCAGACACTGACTGATTGTCGTTTACTGCATTCTCCAACCATATCACCAGAGCTTTTTCTAGATTTGGAAATTTGGGTACTTTATTTTGTTTAATTTTGCTGTTGGGGAGGTCGCATCCAATAAAGTTATTGTAGAAGGATTAATTGAAAATTTCTCCGCAAGTTCTTGATTTTGATATAAGCGTATTGAACATTTCACGGAGTTTTTTCTTTTGTAGTTCCGTTAAAGTCTTTCTCGTAATTGATCAGAGTTTTTAATTATCAGATAATGAATTAGATATATTCTTACGTTTATTCTTAATAGAAGGATCAGCAGTACATGGTTTTCGAAATCAAGGTTTGGTAACACTTATTCTATAAATAGTAAGTTTTTAACTAATCGAGATATTCAACTTAAGGAGGTTTATTTGTTAGAAGTGTGAGAGAATTCTCTTTATCTTACAGTTTTGTCGCGGTTTATAATAAAATTTATATTTTTAATACAAAAAATTTGGGGCGGAAAAATTCTTTACCTTAGAGTGATTTTATCTTAAAGTGACTTTATTTTATCGAGGTTGACTATGTACATATGTGTATACAGGTAGGACAGAATCATTAATATTTGGCAAGAGTGAAGTTAATGTAGAAAAGAGGGTTGGTATAATAATATCATTAATTGCTTTTTTTTTATTTGACTTGTTGATTATTTCTTTATTATTTTGTAGTTCTAATCACAAGGAATACAATAGAATATATGGAATGGGGGAGAAGGCAGTATAGAAAAACTATTGAATATTATTCTATAAATAAATTTTTTGTTGCTCATTGACATGTGGATAAAATCAATACATGATATTAAGATGTGAAATTCGTTGATTAAAAATGGTTTCATTGTTTAAAGTATATAAAAATGAAATTAATTACAACATAAAGTCTATTATTTATATTAGCAGAATCACAGATATGAATATGGGTGTAGGTGAAAACGAGGTTCGATCAGCAGATAATGGTGAAAGCAAACACTATCTAATCTACAGTACAAACTTCAAATAATATGAAATAAATATATTTTGATTAGTCAATCATATCAAAGTTTATATTAAAGACTTAATTTGCTGCATTAAATTTGTCTGGGTCAGGCTTTGCCAGTAAAATTTGGGTTTATAAACTTTACACTAAAGACCTCCATTGCTTCATCAAAAGCAAAATAATGTCCTTTTTTAGTAAAGTTAACAGAACATGCAATTCTTGCTGAGAAAGAAAACGAACAACTGATTTTGCATTGTTTTTACCTGTCGCTGGAAATACAATGAACTACTGTCTATAGTCCCTTCGTTTATAGTCATATGAAAACTCTGTCTGTAGTCATACACAAAGAAGACCACTTACAACTCCGTGGGCACACACTTGAGAACCCAATTGTAACTGAATCAATTCTTTGCCTCTCGTACATTTCGACCGATGATCATCATAGTCACAACACCTGTATATCTGTTCATGTGACATTACGTCAGACGACTTGGGTACTAATTTCATTACATAGTAATAGGCAGAATTAATTCAGCTTTTGTTCGTAATTTCCCTTTTCGTCCTTCCACTGTCTCATTGTAATTCCATAAGGTTTAAATCTACCCTGATTGTCGTTAAGATCAATCGCCAAGTTCAATGACAGATTACATAGATTAGGTAAGCTGTGCAGATTACAGTAAACGGTGGACAAAATATGCATAAGCGTACTCCCCGAAAGTCTCTGAGAAATAAAGTGTGTTACTTACTAGTGTACGTTTGTCAAGTTATACAAGCGTACAGACTGTTACGTCACACAACGTGATCACTAGTACCAACGACAATTAAGGTGGACATTTTGCATGACATATTCAATCACATTTGCATCTCCATGAATTCAAATATTAGTAATCTCCGACAAGCTGTCCTCCATGCATATAGAAATCTGTTGAAGACACAGAAACAAACATTTCGAGGTTATATAACAGTCATGTGTTAACAAGATTTATATCTATTTGCTAATTTTTGATTACGGCTATAGGCGATGAGCAGCTCATACAAGGTGAAAAATCGCATCCATACTATGTTGAAAAATTACTTGATCAGATAATCTTTCGACTCGCACTGACGAATAATGGTCAGTTGGCAGACTGAAGACAAGAGAAGAATTTATAAAACATAAAGATGAGACTGACATTTCAAAAATCGAAGAGGTAGTGATATATATCGATATATTGGTGACTTGTACTTGATCAATTAAAATATGACCATAATCACCATTCCTTCCACTACAGTACATTAAGAATGCTGACGATACTGCTGTCTTTCTCAAGAAGAATGTTGTCCAAGCAGAATTGATTGACCCGAATGGAACGTACAGTAAGTACATACTGTAAGATGATGAGTGCCATATGAAGGCTCAATGATTTAGAAGCTGACGTCTTTCAAAAATATATTCAGAACTACACCTGAACGAGCACCATGAACTAGGAACGAACAAATACCCTCGAACCGACCCATCAACCAAAACATGTTCATAATGCGCACCTTTTAAACAGACCGTGCGAGTTTAATGATATAAGGTCTACTCACACATTATATACATAGATCCGCCCGCCCCCCATTCACCTCACTCTCCAATCCATATCCTTTAGTGTACACAGTCCGGATGATTCATTCAATGCACTGGAAACAGCACAGCAGTCTCCTCAACACGCACAAATTATACAAATACTTACAATATTCAACATATGTAACATAGCAGATACAATAATATATCATCTGCAAGGGAAATTGTCACCAATCTATATAGAACTCATGGAGGCTATAAATAAAATGAATGTCTGAACGTACACCGAACGGACTCACAAAACTCCATCCCAATGGGGGAAAAAACATAATAATGCCCATAATGAACACTCCCCCGAATTTAATTCTTTTGACCTCAACAACCTATGAGGCACAACTATAGAAAAGAGAAGTTTCGATATCACAATCTTGTTATTATTCAAGCTATCGAACTTCCGAAATATCTCTTACCGGTTTCCTTGTCTGTGGAATGGATAATATCAGATCTGCCAAGGAGTAATCAACAGGAGCATTAGATTTTAGGGAAGACCAATGGCGCTTGTATGTATTTACACACGAACTAGAAGTACATAGTAATAAGTGAGAATGTTAGGTAAGATGTTTCTTGAGATTGTATCTAATCTACTACAAACCAAAAATAGCAATTAGAGCGCTTTGTTCTGAATCGCTGCTTATACTTACGTCTCGTCCAGAGGATCGCCAGATAGCTTCTGCAGTACTGCTGGAGGGTACTTGTTATACAGCCCTTGTGTCTTTGCTATTATATCGTCAATATCGATGTTCTGTGGAAACTTTGACAAGAATGTATGTATCGATGCATTATCACGTTCTAGCATCAAAAGTTCTTGTCGTCTACTTATTACGAGCTATATCATACAAACAACAGAAGAAACAAAAGTTAGCAATTAACACGCATCAAAGGATAGAGAGAGAGAGCGAGCCCTTTCCCGTCTTCATGTATACTCACCCTCGCAGCCAAGTAAACACTCATCAATGGATTTGACGAAATGAAAAAGTCAAACAACCTTGCCACTTTCCCAACATCCTTTATATCATGACTACACCAAGTAATCACCCAGCTTAAACCAAAATAGGGTAATATGTTGCTCTCGGTCATGAACTTGTGTATTTGCGGATCTTCGAATTGTAGTATGGTGTCCAACAGCATAAGCTGTCGTAGAATGGGCTCGAGCGAGTCGAGCATTGCGTCTCGCAGGAGAAACATTGCTATATTCTCTGCGGCAGCGATTGCCAATTGCTTCCCCAAGACGATGAGGAGCACCGAGCAAATGTCATGAAAACCTTGGTAATAGTGGAGATCGAGATGACGACGTAATACACAAGCTATTACTTCTTGTAAGTCACGCTGGTATTGTTTCTTTGCAGTTGTGCGGGTACCTGGATGGGGGATATCGGAAGCATATAAGTCAAAAAGAATAATGAAGGGTGGACTTTGTTGAACTTGACAAGTCGAAAGAAATGGCTTACTTAAAATCTGTAGGAAATGGACAACTAACCTTTTGGCAAATACACAAACGATCTTTCCACATCAAGCTTTGCTTGGGCTTCATCACTATGCTCATCAGCTACATGACATACGAATAAAAGTTGAAAGAGAAAAAAAAAAATTGTGGCTCATTATTAGATAAAATAATAACGTACACAGAGGCGTACAATCTATTCGTTTGGACCGCCATACTCGTTCCCGAGAATAGCGTTCGTGTCACGAAAACGTTCTTTGTTTTTCGCTCTAGATTACTCAACCCGACCGACCAGTACATACCTTCTCTGACTTCTCCACCCTTCTCACAGCGTAACAACAAAGGCCATGCTAGCCGCCTCAAACCATCATTCACCAATCCTGGACCAGTAACAGCCAGTTTCCTCAATTCAGCAATATCTTTCCTTGCAATGGCATTATTTATCATGTGTATGCGTCGTTGCAACTCTGCAGTCTCTTTAGTTTCGTTAGATGAATGACTTATCCCACTTGTACGCTTGCGCAGCAATTTAGTATGTGAGAAGGGCATTTTGGAAAAGGGAGAAGCTTTGTCTAATGAAAATTGTGATGGAAACATGGGAAGTGTTAGAGATAGTATCCGAGAGGAGAAGTTCATTGTAGAAGGAAAGAGTTTGGATAAACGGACAGGACGTTGTGGGCGACGGAAAGTTGATTGATAGGAATGTACAAAGTGTAGTGTATATAATAGTTATATACCAATAATATAACGAGCGCAGGTGTCGACGGGTAGTAAACAATGAGAATAGTAATAAATGTGTGAGTATAAGTGTATGTTTATGTCAGTCTCTATAGTCAAAAACAAAAAAGTCTAATATAATCTCGCAACTCTATAACAAAACATTATCCGGTTCTGGTCTTTGTTAAAACATTTCGTGCAGGGCATTTTGTGTGTCTTTTTTTTTCCTCAAAAGCATGAGACAACTTACATCTTGCAGAATATGTGTTAACTCCAATTATCGGAATATGTGAGATTGGCTTCGAAAAGTACAAGATTGACTTTGGTATATTCTATTTAGAATGAGAATTAGGCAATGTCTATGAATATATTTAGAGAAGATAATAGGGCACAATAAATAAGTCTCCTTGTGTGAGATTTTGGTATTAACTCGGTGTGAATCGATTTACTTTTGGTCTCTATCGAATATTTGATAACCGATTTTTCAACCGGGGGTGGGGGGAATGATTAAACATTAATCATACATAATAATAATAATAATCGTTCAATATAAATTTCCATATAATCATACCTAAACATATACGCAGAACAAATACTAACCCTAACTCATTCGCCAAGTCTGTGAAAACAAAAGCAAGCTCCTTCGATATAGTCTAGTCCGCAAAAGACACATGACAGTTTTTGGAGTCCTGTATGCGAGTTATATGCAGTTGCTGGGTTGCAAAGCAAGAGGAGATGAATGAAGGTGTAAAAGATTCATGATTGGACAGAATCGACGCCTGTGGCTGTGGTTTGCATAACCGAACTTGTAAGATTGTGCTTGTGGATGTTGAACAAACCTTTGTCGATCGGGATTTTCCGTCTTTTTTTAGAAAACCAGGCTGCAAAGTAAGATACTATTATTAATATTCTCTATCAGTTGATTAAGAAAGGCAATTTTATTCTGGGTAGAAATGCATCGCACAAGAGTATGGGGCATCACGAATATAGTGCCACAGAAAGTTTCAGGGCTCAGAATGTCCCTGTTTGGTATTTTCAACTAAAAAAAAGTTTAGATTGAACAATGGCTTGCATTCTAGCAACGATAATTTCTAATGAAAAGTCAATACTTTATCCAGAGGATACTTAGTATGCCACTATTCAAGCAGAAAGTTGCTGTGTTATACCCAATCTATAGAACTCATGAAAACGAACAGGGAAAATAACCTGTCACTATCCAAGTTTAATAAAGTATCTACGTGGGTTTGATCATGGAGCCCGAAAATGGATGTACATCGTTCAACGTTTTTTATTTTTACACCGCGATGTAAGCCAATCATTATTTCTAATAAAAGGCTAATTATTATTTCTACCATAGCTTATAAACCTTCGAATTTGGTTGCCTAAGTTGAATTTACAGGTATAATGGCACCGCACCGGGAGTGTGAAGATATACCTTGAGAAGTATATTGACGGGTGAAGACAACTGGAATTAAAAAAGAAAAGAAAAGAGAGGATACGGCGGAGTAGAGAGAAAACGGTCATGACAGACAAAATAACCTCCTTCGAAAAATACGAGACAAAAGTTACCATTAATGACCGCGAAACAATTACGCACGTGACCAATCGCACCTAGAACTAATAATGTGTAGAGATTACTGACTTTATGGGAGGGACATAGTTGTCATAACAGGCCTTAGTAAATAACAAAGCATATCCCGACTTTACGATGTTGATATTAATATGACATGATGATCAGAATAATAAATTAGTAAAAAACTCAATTTTCTGCTTTTGCCGCGTAAATGAGTCTCGCCAAGAGCTTATTTCTCATAATTACAGTAAAAAAGCTAGTAGCTAGACGCAAAAACATAGTACTCGCAAAGATAATAAGATACTATTGCACAGCAATTCCAACGGTTTTCGCCACTTACTACTATAAATCATGCAAAATATGATCAGTAAAAGAAGAATGGAATCCGCATCCGTGAATAACATGTTATTGCCATGCCCACCAAATTCAAGCTGCGATTGCGGCCAATGGAGGAAATACCGAATATTGTCATTTACTTTAAGTAAATAAAATTTCTTTTTAGGTTTAATATTAAGCAAAAATTCAATATCTTAAAAATAGAACTGTGCAATACTTTTCATATGCGCCAAAGCAGAACATTGGGTTTACTAATTTATTGTTCTGCTCATCATGACACTTATATTATTAAATAAACATTAATATTTCATTTGAGTTTTTTTTATTTATGGAATTAGACAAATTACGACTGTGCAATACTTTTGTCTCCAGTCTTTACAACATACACTAGCAATCCGTTTATGGTTAACAGCTTGGCTACCTAGAAATTACCCTTACAATGACAGAAATAACAAATTTATGGATGTGACAAAAAATTAGATTCACTGGTGCAGAACAAGCAAAAAGAATCAATTTAACATACCATCAACATACTAATATGGGATATTAGTATATGGTGTAAAAAAATGATCGAGCTTTTAGTAGGGAGGATCAGTTGCTGGGAGACTCTGTCACCCATAAGGGTGCACCATCAAACCAGCTCCGGTATAGGAACCCCTAGTTGTAAAAACTGGCAGCATTTCCCTTGGGTAGTGCTTTAACTGCGAGAGTTATATTAATATGTTCTAGGTAATCGCTAGACACTGTTTTTATGTAAATCTCCCGATGCTGCGCTGATTTAACCGAGGATGAGAAAGGTGGCCCAACCCTGCCTCCTACAATGTAATAAAGTGAACTGAATAGATAATAAAAGTAATAGTGGTCGTTTATGAGGGTCAACCGATTGGCTCTCCAAAAAATGAAAACATTTGGGAAAAGTTGATTTTCCTCGTGCAATGCGTTAACGGCCACCCACAATTCTACCAAGATTTTATATTAGGGATATCGAGGATTGCTCCCAACAAAGGTAACAGGACGTGACCATTTTCTGGCTACTCAGAAAAATGGGAGTGCCTTTGAGTGGACGTTGCCAATGGCCAACTGTATTATATAATCTATTGGAAGCCGTCAGCAAAAAATTGAGGTTAGGGAGAGAACACGAATGGAATAAAAAAGTCGGTTTCCATATTCGGCCACACCACACTTGAACTCGACTAAATTTGTGAAAGGTTATTGTCAGAAATTAAGTTGAACCTGCACCAACCTACGATTTCGAGGATAAAAACTGATGTCTGTGAGTGAAGACGCAATCAGAAAGTGGATCTCTCGGTAGGCACTACTTGCTGTCGACCGAGTCGAGATAGAAGCTTTCGATTCCAAATCTTTATGTCGAGTGTGTCTCAAAAAAAAATGGTGGTTTGCAAATAAACTTTTTTTTGACTTGTAAATAAAAAAACGTGTTTGCTTACAAAACAAAAACAGCAAATTTGTTTACTTTGTTTACAAAAAAAATTTTTTTTTTTTTATTATTGCCAGTTTCTATACAGAATATTATTTTGTCTATGAAACGGAGATGTAAACTAATTCTACATAAAAACGGCAATAGCAATAGAATTACATATTAAAATTTTTTCATTCAAATTTATCTGATTATTGTAGAAAAACATAATTTTTGTTACAACCATTTTTATATATATATATATATTTTTTGAGAACACTGTAAGTCGGTTTAGTTTCCGTCATCATATTGTAGAATATAAGGGTCTATGCTTGTAACCAAAAGCTGCTAACCACTTTAATGGATAATGCCAAAGTACCGTAGAGCGCTGACTAAAGGACCCGGGGTACTTTACAACGTCCCTCTTTGATTCAGATTTTTGATAGTCCGGCCAGACTCTTTTTTTTTTCATATTAGATTCCTTCCTTTTAATATTTCGATAATTCGATTCGGACGGCTGTAATAATTAACTGTATAAATTAAGTATTCGTAACAATTCGGACGCTTGATAAAATTCAGTCGTCCAAATTACGAAAGAGTTTGGTGGTTTATCAAAAAAAACAAAAAAAAAAACGGTACAGTTAAAAAACGTTCCAAACCTAACTGCTGCGAAAACCAGGAAATATGTAAACGTCAAAGAGATATGCTTGATAAATTTTAAAAATCTTCTTACTCAACTTTAAGCACTAAAAGGGAGCTGCACTAAATAATAAATCACAAAATAGCGCAAAAAAATAGTCACATTAAAAAACTAAAAATCTTATCGTAAGACTATGTATTAGTATAAACAGTCATGTTTAGAAATTTTTTCGGTAAATACCCATATTCACAATAAAATTTTTGGTTTTTTGTCACATCGATAATTCTTAACGGAAGTTGACTGGAGTATTGGAAATAATGGCTGCTACCATAACTTACGACGAATAAAAAAAAAGTATACTACCCGGACAAAAGTATCGGACCCTCTAACTTTATTAATTACTCGAAATTATACATAATAATAATAAACGAGGCAGAAATTTTAATATTTTGTTGGCCAGCCATTATTTGCTATGCATGCTTCGATTCTTCGAGGCATATTTTCAATCAGGTTCATTAAAACAGTATTAGAAATTTTTTGCCATTCTTCTTGCAATGCAGTCTCTAGTTTTTTTTAAATTTTTTGCTAAAGGAGAACGGTTTCTAATACGTCTGTCCAATTCTGTTCAATGGAATTTAAATCTGGTGATTGACTTGGCCAATTAGCTAACATTTTGATCTTCTTTTCTGCAGTTTTTGCAGTATGAACTGGTGCATTATCATGCTGAACAGATATACTCTTCCACTAAATTTCTGTTAATTAATGACAACAAATGAGTTTTAAGTATTTGAATATTATCAAACCTATTCATTTTTCCATCCACTCTGAACGATTTGTTTTAATGTTCGTTGATGCTCAAAACTCAA